TGAAATTACAAGTCAATAAACAGATGTAAGACAGAAGACCAATTGAAATTATGTAAATATTAAGATGACACCATTAATAAGAGTTACATTTCAAATAAATATTGAATATTAAATTAAAAATTTTAATATTATATACATATTAAAATTAATAATAATAATAATGAAAATATTGAAATAAATACATAAATATAAATAAATAATTCATCTAACAGTACAGTACTATAGTGAGTAGAAAAAAAGTGTTGTAATAGAGAATGTATATAGAAATAGAAACTAAATATTTTCCAAATGAAAATAAATAAAAATTTTATAAAAAATGTTAAAAAATGTAATAATGATTTATTTTATTTTAATAGCAATATTTGAACTTGCATTTAAACTTACATTTCTTACAAAACAGATAAATAAATAGCACACATAAGAGTGAAATAATCTTTCTTTCATAGAAAACAGAGAACATTCTAGTAGCCCAGGTGTTTTGAAGACTCAGACCTTTCCGATACGTTTGCCCTCCACCTTCAGCGCCTTCATCTTGGAGAAATAATGGTAGTATGTGACGACATAAGTGATGACAGACTTCTCATCGGGATGGTCTACGCTGATATCTGCGAAAAAGACAGCGTGTTATTGTGTATTATTTCATGATGAGGTCCGGAGATGTAGAAGCACGGTGGGCTCTTACCTTCTGGGTCCAGGAGTTTGGTGAGACCCAGGTGCTGCTCCGCCAGGTTGAAGGCGTTCTGCAGGTTGTGGTGAGCGTTGGACTTCTTCAGTTTGTCGAAATCAATCAGGTCTGGCCTGGAATGCATTGAGAATGAAGCATATTAAGTTTGCGAGAAAGAAATGCATTGATGCAGGTAGACTGAAATCAGTACCTGTGTTTGTGAATGAGGGCGTTGAAAGCCATTCCATCACGCCAGCTGGTGGTGAAGTTGTGGATGTTGACGTTGGGATAGCTGTGTAACACAGAAAGAGCTGTCAGACATCAAGGACTCGAGCACGTGTGTGTCTTTATTCTGGACATCTACCCACCCTGCGGTCTTCATCTGGCACCACAGAAGCAGCGCGTCCTTGGCTGAGCGTTTCTCTTTATTGTCTTCTGTCTCAACGCTGATGTCTTGAATCTGTTACACACACGATAACACAACATAATGGATTTTTTGTGCATTATTTGTGCATTTCTTTGGCCGTAACGTCATGAAAATGTGATGTTATGTGATGTTACGTGATGCTATTAGGGCAGGGGTTTTCAAGCAACAACAATAACAACAACAGAAAAAAAAGATTTAAAAAATTGTTAAAATAAGTTTAAAAATTAAATCACATTAATAGTAAAATTTGGGTTGAATAAATATATAAATATAAATAATACATCTATCAGTACAGTACTAGAGTGAGTAGGGAAAGGTAATAGAAGCTAAATATTTTTCATGTAAAAAAATAATAAATGGATAAAAATTGTTAAAATAAATAAACAATTTTGATTAAAATTAATTATAAAAAAGTATTTATTTAAATAAATAAACACATATATAAATATAAATTTTTATTTTTTTTTTT